TTCTGTCTGCTGTTTTGTCTGAGATTCTGTCTGTTGTTTTATCCGGTGTTCTATCTGGTGATTTGTCTGGTGTTTTGTCTGTTTGTTCTGGTGTTTTGTCTGAGATTCTGTCTGGTGTTTTGTCTGGTGTTCTGTCTGAGATTCTGTGTGGTGTTTTGTCTGAGGTTCTGTGTGGTGTTCTGCCTGGTGTCCTGTCTGGTGTTTTGTCTGAGATTCTGTCTGGTGTTTTGTCTGGTGTTCTGCCTGGTGTTATGTCTGGTGTTTTGTCTGAGATGCTGTCTGGTGTTTTGTCTGAGATTCTGCCTGGTGTTCTGCCTGGTGTTCTGTCAGATCTTCTGATCTCTGCTGGTTTTTCTGTTTCTTTCTTCATGAATTGAGGTGAGCTTCCATGAGTTTGTTCTTCCAGCCTCWCAGTTGGAGTTTTATCTTTAACTACAGCTGCAGACTCACTCTCTTCTGTGGATTTAACTGAATCTGTTTTCTGGACCTGTTGTGGTTCTGTTGGAGTAGAACCTGTTTTATCTTTGACCCTACAGATGTTTATGTGTTTGTTAGTCTGAGGTTTTGCTGTTTCCTGATCAGCTGCAGGATGTTTTGGGATCAATTCTTTCTGTTTATCATCTGTAATGAAACAGATTTGTTCTGATTGATCCTGAACTATAACTGCTGTTAAAGCTTTTTGTTTGGGTTTTAATGTGTTTGTTTCTGACTCACTGGTTGAAAGCTCAGTTATTGTGATGTTTAACAGTTCCTCAGGTGTTAATCTGGTTTCCTGCCTGTTTGCAACCAAAACTTTTCTTTCAGCCTTTTCCTGTTTTGTCTTTTCTTTTAGAGGAGAAACATTTAAACTTTTATCTTTAATAAAACTTTTTGCTTGTTCTGGAGAGGTGTCAGATGTCCCTTCATGAATCTCAGAGCTAATACGTTGAGCTAAAGGCTCATGTTTGTCCTGAACCATGATGGCCTCTGGGTCTGCAGCCTCTTTAGTTCTGGTTAATCTTTGTCGTCTTGTTTTAGTTGAGTATTTTCCTAAAACAACTAAGTCTTCAGGAACTTTCTCTTTTAAATCTGATGTAGAGACTTTAGTTTTTCTGTTTGACTCAACTGGAACATGTCTGTCCTGAAGCTCAGCCTYGTCTTCATCGTCGCTCTGATGCTTCAGTTTTTCAGTTTTGAGAGTTTGGACCTTAATCTCCTTTGGTTCTTCAAATACATCAGCTGTTCTAACAATCTTAGAAGATGAGTGTTCTGAAGGTTCTCCTGTCATAAAGGATAAATCTGTTTTCCTAACAGATAATTTGGGTTTGATAAAACCTCTCTCTGACATACAAACTTCCTGTTCCTGTTCAGAAATGGGTTGGACACATATTTCAGCTCCTGCTGTTCTTTTACCATCTTTAGAATCAGTTTTCTGTTTAGATTTATCCTCCTGAACTACAACAGGAAGGATTTTCTGGGTTTTATCTGCTGTCATGTCATAATTTCTTTTAGTTTTAGGGATAAWACTTGATGAGCCAGATGTCTTTAAACCATCAGTAACAGATAATTTATTAATTTCAGAACCTTCAGCTGGTCTTTGGATGAACACAGCTTTTTTATCTTGTTTTACTTGATGAAACATGGAAGGTTTTGGTTCAGTTTCTTCTCTCTCCATGTCTGTTTCTGCACAGGATCCATTAGTTTGTCCAGTGAAGGTGAAAGATTTGAGAGGTTTGAAGAGAAAGCACCATGAGGCGGTGCCAAGAGATTCAAACAACACAAACACAAACATGGAGTTAAATAAGACTTGAGAACTGAAGGTAAACATCAAAGAGTTCAGTTTTTGTACCTTTCTTCAGTTTGTCTGCTTTAGTTTCAGCTGCAGGAGTTCTGATGGGCTCAGGTTTCTCTTCAGGTTCTTCAAAGATTTCATTTTTATAGAAAAAAGAATAAAACAACAGAGGCATAAAAAAGAGACGTGATTTAAAAAAGATGAGATGTGTCAGGTGTTTGTGACGTGAAGATGAGACAAACAGCATGAGAAGAAGATTTAAGGAGCGGAGGTGAAACCCTGCTGGGTCCTGACCCTGATACCTCTGCCTGCAGAAATCTCCTCTGGTTCCACCCAGTCTGAAGGTTTCAGATCTTCAGTCCTGAATGTCGGAGCAGAATCATCTGCAGACCTCAGGTGTTCCGACTTCTGTTGGACCTTCAAGGGTCTCCTGGACTCAATGTCTGTTACAGACTCTTCTGGTCTAACTGATGCCTTCAGCTCTTCGGCTATTAGAGCTGGTTTGGTTTGGACCAGTTTGGGTTCTGTTGAGGTGCTTTTTGCTTCTGTTTGTTTCTCCTGACTGATCTCAGCCTGTTTTCTTGTCTCTGCTCTGATAAATGTCTTTGTCTCTGTCTGCGATGGGACAAACTGTACGTCTTCAATCTGACTCTTTCTCTGGGTTTTCACCAACGTCTCGTCTGAACTTTTCTCTGACTCCATCTTTAAAACTAAATTCTCTTCAGATTTTTCTGCTTCATGTTTTTCTTGCAGAGTAAAGAGTTCAGGTTCAGGTTCAGGGACTACAACTAACTTTTCTTTAGTTTTTGGAAGGATTTTGTGTTTCCTGGTTGAAGAGTCAGTAACAGAGATCTGTCCTCTCAGGTCCGACCGTCGGTCCTCATTTTCTGTTACAGCCAAGACATCTTCATCCATCACGTCCTCTTCCTCGGTGAGAGGAACTTCCTGTGGAACAGAATCAACTTCCTGTTTCCTCTGAGCTTCTTGCCTTTGACGTGTTTCTGATTGTAAGAGTTGAAGAAGAGGCRTCAAGGCGACGCCAAGAGGTGAGGACCAAACAGAGACAGAAGTTAGAGGAGGTTCATGCACAGATTATTCAGATGATAATCCAGATTATCACCAGCAGTTAATAAGATATTTTTATGCTGGGTACCTTCTTCAGGAGCAGAGATCTCCTGATCTTTGGGACGGATCTTCTCAACCTTCTTCACTTCAGCTTCTTTTAAAGATTTAATCCGATTTGAATCAAAGATGGTGAGAAAAGAACATTTAAACCATTAAACACAAGAACAGAAGACAAACGTCATCAAGATCTTTACAGATCTACTGAAGAACCAGGAAAAGGTTCTGCTTGTCCATGGTGTCACATCAGATGGTCTCAGAACCTTTTGGAAGAACTCGTTGCATGAAAGCAGAAGGTCTGCAGAACCTTTTTGGTTCTACCTGAACAGAATGTGCTGCTGTGTTACTGTGACACCACCTGAAGCAGAACCTTTTCTTCTTCTGACACACACAGTGATGAAGAGGAGAACTTTGGTGAAGAAGAGTCTACCTGTAGGACCAGGTTCTTCTGACACTGGTTTAGCTTTGACCTTCTCGGGTGTTGGAACAGGAACTGTTTCAGAGATTTTCTTCAGCACCTTCTCTGGTTTTCCTTCTTCAGGCTTCTCTCGGACCTTTTCAGGTAGTTTCTTCTTCTCCTTGGCCTCCTGAGGAACTTTATCCAGTTTCTTCTGAGGAAGAACCATCTCCTCTAGTTTCTCTGGAGCTTTATCTGGGATCTTTCCTGGTTTCTTCTCAGGTGTCTTGTCTGGGATCTTCTCAGGAGGTTTTTCCTTCACCTCAGGTCTTCCTGGAGTTTTCCTGTCAGGTTCTGGTTCTGGTTTGACCTCCAACACGACCAGCTCCTCAGAGATCTTCTGAGGTTTGGGCTTCAGAGCTTTAAGAGGGTTTAACACAGAAAACATGCAGAAGACATGACTAAAGAATGTGCTGACGCACAGGCTAAAGACACGCTGAAGACATGCTGAAGACAGGAAGAAAAACCGTTCCATAACTCAAAGATAGAAGACATTAGTTTTTTGAGCTGAACATTAAGAGGACTCATTTAGATCTTTATGAAACCAAATCTCTATCCTAATGGACCAGAGGGACCAWCGGTCCTCTGCTCAGGTTTAATGCAGATCCAGTTTGTTCTGGTGAAACAGAAAAGTACCTTTTTCTTTCTGTGTTGGCTCTTCTTTGGGAGGAACCACTCCTGCTCCAGGTTTCCTGACTGGTTTTGGAGGCTCTGGGACTTTGTCTTCCACAGGAGCTTTAAAGAGTTTTGTTCACAAACATTAAAACCTTAGAATGGACCCAGGTTAGAGAAGAAAAATAAAGAGTCAACTAAAAACAATAAATTCAACAATAAAGAATAAATGTTACATAAAGCACTTTAAAAACAACCACAGGACATTATATATGGGTTGGACAGAATTTAGACAGGTGTTGGACAAACAGACATGTGTTGGACAGACATTAGGCATGTGTTGGACAGACATTAGGCATGTGTTGGACAGACATTAGGCATGTGTTGGACAGACATTAGGCATGTGTTGGACAGACATTAGACATGTGTTGGACACACATTAGATATGTGTTGGACAGCCATTAGGCATGTGTTGGACAGACATTAGGCATGTGTTGGACAGACATTAGACATGTGTTGGACACACATTAGATATGTGTTGGACAGATAGATAGGTGTTGGACAGACATTAGACATGTGTTGGACAGCCATTAAACGTGTGTTGGACAGACATTAGATATGTGTTGGACAGACATTAGGCATGTGTTGGACAGACATTAGACATGTGTTGGACAGATATTATATAGGTTTTTGACAGACATTAGACATGTGTTGGACAATGTGACAATATTTGACCCATTCAAAGCTTGTGGTCCAGATGGTATTGTCCCAGTTTCCCTCTGTTGAGGCTTTAGCAGTAACTTGTAGAACAAAAGGTCAGAATAAGGGGGTCATGGAAAACATCTTGTATAATATCCTGGAAAAGATTACATCATCAGTGGTCCACAAAAACACTTCATGAGTGTGTATAGGAGGTGTTGAATTTCAAGCCCAGTTCTGGGAAGGTCCATCCTTTCCTGGCTCTGGTGTAACACAAACAACTTGGGTATAAAAGCTCTGGTTTTATAAATACGTCAGTTCGGTTTTGAAAGGTCTGATCTGTCGGTATGAAGCTCGTTACTGACTGAACTCAAATAAACTCCCTCTGGCTGGCCAAGGATTGTCTCTTCTCTTTTTATCTTGATAAGTGGACTTTTCAGCCGCTACACCTCCAAGAGTACTAGAATTGCTTCTGGACACAATTACTAGAATATATGTTGCTTGTCTAACAAACGGCTATGTACCAGTTGGGTGGAGGACAGCAAAGGTTGTCTTTCTGTCCAAAACTGCCAAGCTAACATACAGAGAGGCAAAATCTTTCAGACTCATCAGCTGGACATCTGCTGAAGGGAATGTAGAGGTTAATAGATCGACATGTAAGGGATTGTATTTTAATGCTATCATCTTTAAGTTCTAAACAACCTGCATATCAGCCAGGTCTTTCTACAGAAACAGCCTTACATGTGGCAATAACTGTGAGACCTAGAACCCACCCCCCACCCCCACCCCCGATCTGAACCCGAGAGGTGTTTCGTTATTGGACTTCTGTGCTCATCATGGATTGTCCATAATG